TTTTGGCAAACCAATAGTAATGGCAAACCAACCGGACATTGTGGTGGTGGACAAAAAGCAGAGGAAAGTCGTTGTGGTTGACATAGAAATACCAAGTGACTGCAACATCTGGAAAAAGTAACATGAAAAACTAGAGAAATACCAGGGGCTCAGAGGAGAGCTGGAGAAAACCTGGAAGGTCAAGGCATCAGTGATGCCAGTGGTCATTGGGGCACTCGGGGCAGTGACCCCCAAAGTGGAAGAGTGGCTACAGCAGATCTCTGGAAATACATCAAACATCTTGGTCCAGAAGAGTGCAGTCCTAGGGACACCAAAGCTACTGCACAGAACCCTCAAGCTCCCAGGCCTCTGATAGAGGACCCGAGCTTGGAGGAAAAAGGAAGAACGGGTGAGGAAGGCCTAGTGTGTGTGTGTGTGGATATATATTTCTTCCCTGTGTAATTCGTTTAAAATTAACCATTATTAACTGGAGTCTAGTTTGAAAATCTCTTATCATCCTGAAGCCAAATAATAATAATAATAAAAAGGAACAGGTTTAAAGCCATACCGGCCTTGTTTTCGCTGCCATTACAATTATCACCATCAGCCTGCATGCCGTTTCTCAGCCATTACCATAACCATAAAGCTGCCTGTTCTCATTATCAGCCATGTGTTCAAGCTTCTTAAACGGTTGCAGCTTGTGACATCATTAGTAAATGCTGCCACCTAGTGGTGTTCTGTAAGAGCGCACAGCTTCAGCGCAGCCTCAGTGAGCTCAGGCGCTTTGATCTCTCCATGTAAAGTCCTCATGGTAATCTCATCATGCTGTTGATGGATTAGTTGTAGTTAATTGTAGCTTGGATGCTCAGATTTCTCTCTCTATAATCTGCTTTTAATTGGCTTTTCTGGTCTTATACTGAACATAATTAACACCACTGTATACAGCTTATTTGCTGCCACTGACATATAAACTACTCGGGTTGGCTTGAGCTTGAGTTCAGAAATTACTTGGATTAATCATCTATTGTCTAAAAAACCCCTGAAAATAATGAAGTGTTTGGGATTATTTTAAACCAAATCTGTCCCCCTTTCTTTATGTTTGATCAATTTTATTCTTTTAAATGTGAATCTCTTCCATTTTAAATTACTCAGGGAGAAATGTGTGGTTTCCTACCTTAAAGAAGTCTGCTGCTTGTGTGACCAGCGGTGAATCCATTTCAGGTTTGGAGCGAATGTAGTGGGAATACTGAAGAAATTCCTCCCGCTTCGGTTACATAGGGGACAAGAAATATTTTAAGTTTACAAGGTTGATTTATATTAGCTTTAATATGAACATACACAAAAAAAGCCCCAAAATACAGTGGTTTAAATAAAACTTAATGACAACTTTATCCACTTTCTTAGAATAAACTCATCACACTACTTAGCAATAATTTCCTTTTTATAAGTCCTTTTCACACCAGTGTGTCATTGAGTCATGCTTTTAGTTTTTTTTTATGACTCTGGTAATTAAAAACAAACAAAATGGCTAAAATAGTTTTTTTTTTATTGTTGTTATAAAGTTTTTCTTATCATCACTGCAGTGTTGTTGAAATTTATTTTTCTCAAATTTACATATTTTCTAAGCTTATTTAAATCACTGATTGGGTCATAATTAAAAGACTGTGGTGTGGTGCGTCTGTATATACATTTGTATGTGATACAGAGTAAAATCTACATGTTATTTTCCACGTTCCTAATTGTTAAAAGCTTTGCTCATGCACTCTAGCAAAACCTCAGCTAGCACATTACATTTAAAGTCTACTGAGCGCTTTATGTGCACCTAAAAAGTTCTTTACAAAATCAAAAAAATATATTAATTGCTGTCTTACTTACACATTCTAAAAATGAATAAAATATGAAATAAATTTTTTTTTTTTTACACATAAATATATATATATATATATATATATATATATATATATATATATATATATATATATATATATATATGTATAAATGTATATTAATAATACTTTTCATGCTTGGAAACTTTTTTCTGTATTTGCACCTAAATGGCCACCCTTTGGGTGAGTTAAATAAAGGGACTGTTTGGAAAAAGTGTTGAGGATTGTATCCAATTTAAAACCCACAATTCGGTGCTAAATTCTTTGCTTTGAAGACAACTGGAATAAGTGCATCTACCTCTGGTTGGTAGCGATGAAATTCTAAACTAGACTGACTTCTACTGGATTATTATGACCTGAAGATAAAATGTTTAAAGCACATTTTTTAAAAATGCGAGAGATTATTTTGTGAATATATTCAACCCTAAAGGTTTAAATATGACCAATGTTTTGGGGAAACATTGTCAGTGTATAAAAAACCAGGTTCTAGAGAATGATCTGAAAATAATTTGTTTTGTTTCTAGAAATGGGCCTTATTAGTGGAGAGGGTTTTCTTTTATTATCTGCATCTTCAAAAACAAACTGTCCGTTTAACTAAGCTCATTGATTCTTAAGATTTAGATTTTCCCTAAAAAGTGGCAGAATAACCGTTGCCATACTTTCCCAGCAAATTATGAAACTTACATATTTGCTGAAGCAGTCTTGTTGCAACAAACTCTGCACGAGAGCCCCCTCCATGGCAGGGAGCAAATTCTGGGAGTGAAAGGCACAGAGGCTGCTCCAGTTGGGGAAGAGCGTGTCTCCCTTCCCCCTGATAGACGCCGGGGTGTCAGAGAGCTCCAGCAGGGGCAGATATGTTTCTTCAACTCCCTTCAGGACAGCCACGTACTGCCTCTCTGAGCTCAGCATCCTGCACCAGAGCAGGTATAATTTACTGCGGGATGAACAGGAAAGCGGGAAGGGCGAGTCAGTAAATGTTAATGCGAAGAAGGGAAATAAATGGTCTCGCTTTTTAAATGAGAAACAAACATGAAAGAAATCCAAGATGTTGGAAGGAAGCTGGCAGCAGGCAGTGGACGGAGATCAAAGAGATGGTGATGAAAAAATGATCAGAGATTGCATGCTGATTGATCCCCAAAATGATGCCCCGTTTTTCTTTTTCATCTCAGACTCGCTTAATCTAAAGAAATTTATTCAGTGGGCTGGCTGTGGGAGTTTTAAGGCCAAGTGCTGCTTCTAATGCACTCAGTCGAACTACAACGTTCTCAACAACAACTTGCAGAAGAAAAACAGGATCAAAGACCACATACCTCTGTGCAGTTGACCCAGTCCTGTCAGTCCCCATGTCCCTCTCAGTCCTCCCCAGGAGGACATGTTGCCGTGGTGACCCTGTGTGATCCACCACTTCTTTGCTGCTGACCTCCACACCTCGAATCAACACGCCACCTCCGACGCCCCACCCAGGGATAGCTGCAGCCATGCTGGTGGTGATGACGGGGTCGGCTACGTTCTTTCGGCCCAGCCAGGACAGGGGGGAATTGCGGCTAACCCCGCCAACGGGAGAGTCTGGTTTTGGGGTGGCAGTGCCTTTGCGGGGGGCCAGGAGAGCCTGTAGGTCAAAGCTGGGGTGGCGCTTCCTGGGAGGCTTTGGAGGGAGTGGGGCCTCGGTAGGCTGCAAGATCAGTTAGAAGTCAAAACTGAGAAAGCTGCTCTAAATCTGTTTTAGAGTAACTTTTTAGAGTAAACTTGTTACATCATATTACAATAGGATGATTAAGAAAATGAATGGGATCATAAGGAACAAAGTAGAGTGTGAGTGAGCTTTTCTTTTTTCAATAATGGTCGATACATGCATGATTCACCATTCAGCAGCCATGCCTTGAGATCAAGTAAAGAACATGAATACTGCTCCCTCCATTTACTATTCTTAGGTTATTGTTTTCCTCAGTTTACTTGCTTCTTTATGTTGAATATGGGACAGGTGTAACATTCGCTGTCATTGTGTCATCCTTAGTCGAAAGTTGCTAACTCTTGAGCCGCTGCAGAGATCTCTACAGTCATGTGGGACAATGTATTGACAGTAAAACTAAACTAATCAGGCAGTCCACACAGAAAAAGATCTTGTTGAAGACACTAATCAAAGTCCAGCATTCACCAAAATATAGTGCTCAGAAGAAGACCTCGGGGTGATGTCCATCAGAGAACGGTCTGTGCTACCGTGGATTCTGTCTTATGAACTTCCCCTCCCCACACAGTGAAACAAAATGAGTTGCAAGAGCAGGCCTTAACAATGCCTTTAACAGTCGGGTGAGTCGGTAGCTGTCCTGAACTCCAAAAGTTGTTTTGAGAAGAAATGTCCTGTTTAAAGGAACTTAAAGGATGCCCAGTTTGCTGGCTGCTAAAATGAGTTACAGCTAGGACATGAGGAAAGGTGCTATGGTTTAGATGAAACCAATATCAAATGCTTCGGTTAATATACAAAGTGCTGTAACACTTAAAATGACCCCTTACATATCTCCATCATGAATCATTCTCTATGGCAGCATTATGGTGCAGCATCATGGTCACTGTTTTTCAGAAGAGACAGGAAAGCTACTGAAAGTTGATGGACAGATGGAAGGATGAGCCTTGAGGATAGCCATAAAGCCTAGGCTACAAAGGAATGCTTTACATCTAACCAAATCCAAAAAGTCAGGTTATCCTGAACTATCTCTATGGTTATGCTGCTTTAGGCTTAAGAAGGTGGAGGACACAGGGACCACTTTTCCTCACTCTACCTTATAAGTGTGTCATGTACTTCCCTTTTCCATCATAGTAGCTTAATCTGGTCATGTCCTGTTTGATTGTGACATAGATGACAAAGATGGGCGTTTTGTTAGACATAGCTTTGGGCTCAGCTTTTACTGTTACTAAATGTTTACTTTTGGCATGAAAACTGGCTCAGAGCTAGTCTGCTTTACTGTTTCTTTCCTAAAAAAAAACCATGCATGTTAGTTTACCATTACATTTTCTATAATAGAAATTATGTATAGATTAGTGTTTCTGTTATTATTTTGCATGTCTGCTACTGTTTCCTTAAGCCCTCAGGCTGGCTCAGCAGAAGACTGCTCAGCCTGAGCCTGATTCTGCTGTAGGTTTCATTCTATCAAAAGTTTTCCCTCTCCACTATCGCAGCATGCATGCTTAGTGTGAGGGATTGCCGTAGAGGTAATGACAATGCAAGCAAATATCTACTGTAGCTTAATGCTCCTCCAGGAGGAACGAATCATGCAAAGTCAATGACTGAATGTCAACTGGGCATCTTTTGATAGAAACCGTTCAATAGTCTGACATTACAGTCTGATTGAAGTACCTAGAGGGGACATGTGTTGTAAAATGGTGCTATATAAATAAACTAAAATAAAACTGTATTAAATAGTTTTGCAAAAAAGTGTACAAGCAACGAAAGGGGGTCTGGATGTTAATATTTGCAAAAAAATAGCAGCAAAAATTCCTCACCAAACTTATTCTTGAGAGGGATACATATACATTCAAGCCATGATTTTAATTAAAATGTGTTAAAAATCTAGAAATGTTTGCTCTAAACATCCCATATGTGCAAAACGGTATGCTGGTGGTCCGTCACAATCTCAAGGGAACACAATGTTAGTGGTTAACTTGGTGTTGTGTTAACTAAAGTGTGTTAAAAAAATTCTGTGTTTCCTTCAGATATGTGGATGATATGATTTAGTAAAAATAAATTATGATAGATTTAAACAACAAGGACAAATGCAAATTTACTCACACTTTTCTTGACAGGATTCAGAAGGTTCTGCAGGAACTTCCCTCCACCAGCTCCTCCTGCTCCCCCTCCATTTCCTCCCCCTTCTTTCCTGTTCCCTTTATCTTCACCTATCTTCAACGTGGAGCATGTTTGTGGTCTGAACAGAGATGCCAGGGACCCCCAGGACTGTAACCCCCCTTCCCCTCCTACTGCTCCCAGCCCCCAGTCGCCCTCTGCTTCAGGCCCCACCAGGTCCCAGAAGTTGCTGCCGGAGGGTGTTTTGGGCTTCCCCTGGCTTTGGTTCTGTGTCCTTTCAGAGTGGAGGAATCTGGGTTTGACCTGTGCTACAGTCCGCTGGTAGCGCTCTACTGTCTGGGTCCAGAGGTCCAGGAGTGCCCCGCCTCCAAGCTCTATAGCTAAGGATCGGGCATCCTGGAAACGAGAAGGGGGGATTGGAGGGAGGGAAGCAAGGGGGCAGGTGGAAGATGAGGTAGTGGGTGAGGAGGGAGTGGAGGAGACCGCATCACACCACTGGGTTGCCTATGAAATGAAAAAAAATAAATAAATAAAATTAACAAGAAATGGATTGTAAAAAGGCTTGATCTTCAGAAAGTTTGTGGTGTAAATGTGTTTGTGCTCATAAAGCAAATCCACCGAAGATTCAAAGTAATTTGTGTTTGCAATCCAGCAGAGTGTGTGGAAACCATTCTTTTGTTTCTGTGTAATGGCCACAGGTGGCGTAGCGGTTAGAGTATTGCGCTTGGGTCCCAAAGGTTCTGCCAGACCAAGGCTGGTCCCCGGGCGCCAACAGCCCACTGCTCCTTAAGGGAGAGAGGGAATTTCCCCATTGTTGGACAATAAAGGACTTACAATACATCAATATGCAGATCGTAGTGTGATGACCAAACTGTAAAAAAATCATTGTTGGAGGATTTGCAAATGTAAACTTCTACCACGTGCAAAGCGATTTTCCCACACTTTTTATAGTACTTTTAAGAGTCAGTGTAAACTGACATGCAAAAATATCTACAGTCATTTTCGCCGTAATAAGGGATTAGAACAACCCCTGGGGAAAAAATTATTGAATCACTGGCTTCAGAGTTTCTTAAAGCCAGACAATTTCCATTTGACATGGCTTTAGTTTTGTGACATGTCTGTGATCTGCTTTTTTCGTGCAAATTTAAAAAACTGAATAAACATCCGCCAAGGCCGGTAATTCCATAATTCTTGCTACGGGTTGTAGAATAATAGATTATAAAAAGAGATTCTGCATGTAGATATATTAGACCATCAGAAATAACATTATTACAGCAATATTAATACAGAAAAAAATGGCTATGCAGGAGGGCACAAAGTGAAGCAGGACAACAGATAACCAATATTTAAATGAACCAAAGCAAAGAAAATGACTGAATAAGTATTGTGTCATGTTTTACAAAAAAAGTAGAATATTTCAGATTTCTTTTACTTTTATTATTTTCATCCTTCATTTTGTTTTTACTTTTTTCACAACCACGGTGCTAAATGAATAGTATTTAGTATCATAGTATGTACGTTTTGAATGTATATTGTTTACTTTATGCTTTACTTCTATAAATCTAAATTAAAACACTAAAAAGGTTGTTAAGTTTTAGACATAACCACTGGTTTGCATGTATCAATATTTGCACAACAGTCATTGTAGATCAACTAAAACACCACTTTCTGCATGGAGTATAAAATATTGCATGCACAATTTAGTGTCTCTTACTCTCAAACTTTGAAGATCAGACCCTAACTGTAGAACTTTATAAACTCTGAAGCTTTCCGCACTGTGTTACCTCTGTCAGTGTAGACAGCAGGCGCTGTGTGTTGTCCAGTGTGGTCCAGCAGTCTGATAGACAGTGGGACATGTCTCTCAGCTTCTCTCTCACCGGGGGAAGGCGGATCTGGACGTTACTGAGTCCTGCCCAGTTTAGTTCGCTCCAGCCCTCCAAATCGCTGAGCACTGACAGAGTCTCACTGTGCAGCTCCTAAACGAGCCCAGAAAAAAAACATTAAGGAGACTCTGGAAAACCATACAATCCACCAAAAGCTTGAGAAGATGCACACTGAGAAACTAAAACAAATATAGAATCAGTTCAGTGCAACTGAAATTAATAAAATTCAAATCAGAAACATTTAACGATGCTTTGTTGTTAAAAAAGGGAAATATACAATTCTTTCAAACACAGTTTTATCCTCTTTTGACTAAAGTTCCTTATCACCTCATGATTTGGATGTAGATATTCCCTCTCCTCCTTCATACACAAGTCATAATATTAATATAAAAGATGTTGTTTTTTATCTCCAATTGAATTTTTTTTTTGTTTCCAAGGAAGGGCTGCTGACTTAAACATATGGCTTTCCTCACAGATAGACTGGATCCCATTGCCATCATCC